GGGCGAGGGTACTTTACCGTTGAGGGAGGATTAAGTTCACTCTCACTCTTGTTTTTTTTTTTTTTTTTTTTTTTTTTTGTTTTTTTTTGGATTTATATCAAGGCATTTGCATGAATTTTATGGACATGGACATAGCACTCACTATATTCTAAGAATACGAATCCCATACATACAGAGCGCAGAAATTGAGCACGAGCTCTGGTACTTCTTTTATTCACAACCAGATAGGTTTCGCTATGCAGCACTAGATTGTATCGTGCATCTAAGCGCAGCTGATACCTTACGAACACCAAAGGGTGCAGCAAAGCCCAAACAATCGGCAGCACAAGATAGCCCGTATCTATGCCCCTCAAAAAGCAAAAGGGCGCAGAGCCAGAGAGGTCATTCGAAACCTGATATCTCACATCAGCAGGGGCGGTGGTTGTGCGACACATAGAAACCACTTTAGGTAAATGTACATGGATGAGTTAGATATACGCTGCACCATCATTTCTACTAGTCAGAAATGGTAGACATGACACCTGTTTGGCTGTGGTTTGAGGGCATTCAACAGGATGCGCATAGCAATAATGGTCCAGTAAGCGTCGCTTCCTCCATAAAAAAAAATCTTCGTTAATTCGTCACGGCTGTAATATGAACATTTACAGGTACAGATCCCAAAGAAAAACACAAGACATAAGAGCATGAGACGCTCAGTAAAAAGAAAGCTTGAGTTTCCGGAGTTTCTTGAGTCGCTGCAGGATCTCGATCTTTCGCAGCTCCAGATAAAGGTCTTCCTCGTCGGCATCATCCAAGTCTCCAGAAATACTTATCAAAGGGAATTTGGGTGTGGTAAGCTCTCCGTTGAACTTTGGAGGCGTAGCATTGATAGCGTTGTGGTTCGATACAACCTCAGGAGCGTTTTTCTTGATCTCCTTCTGAGAAGGTTGCACTGGAGGTGGTGGCTCATCTCCAGACCAGCCTTTGCACATTGCGACGGCCTTTTCCCATCTTGCGAATGACTTAGCGCTTTCTTCGCGACTGATCTTGGGCTCGAAGACGGCTCCTCCGGCACGGTTAATGTCTCGCAGTTCAGCGAAATTTCTCCACACCCCTACCGCCAGACCAGCGGCTATAGCCGCACCAAGTGCAGTGGTTTCCCGCATCTTGGGGCGATACACCGGGATCGAGATGAGATCCGCTTGGATCTGGTGGGATATTAGTTTCGAGAACTGAATGTAAAAGGGCTCATGTTCTGTACCTGCATCGCAAGGTCTGAGTTGCTCATGCCTCCATCAACCGCCAATTCTGACAGCGCATGCCCACTGTCTTTCTCCATTGCGTCCAAGATGGCCTTGGTCTGAAAGCAGGTGGCCTCTAGCGTCGCCCGAGCAATGTGGCCCTTTTGGGTGTACTGTGTGATCCCAACTGTCGGGGAAGTCAGCGCCGATCAAAAGGAGCATTAACCCTAATTGCCTTACACATTGTCCCCTTTGCATCGTCAATCCAGTAAGGCGCATAAAGACCACTGAACGCAGTGACAAACACACAGCCTCCACTGTCTTCTACCGTCTGAGCCAAATCGTTCACTTCCTTGGACTCTTGGAAAAAGTTCAAGTTATTTTGTAGGAATTTGATGCCAGATCCGGCGACTGCAATGCTGCCCTCAAGGGCGTACACCGGCTTGCCATCGAAGTGGTATGCCACAGTAGCAAGAAGTCCATGCTCGGAGATGACTGGCTTTTCTCCAACATTATACAGGAGGAAGCAGCCTGTTCCGTAGGTATTCTTCGCCATTCCTGGCGAAAAGCCCTTTTGCCCTACAAGCGCCGAGGACTGGTCACCAAGACAGCCCATAATCGGAACGCCAGCAAGTGTTCCAGATGCCAGTGCTCCGTAAGCTTTGGCGTCTGAAGACGGCACAATCTTGGGCAGGTGGACTTTTCCTCTGATACCGAAGAAGTCCAGGAGAAAATTGTCGTATTGGAGGGTCTCAAGGTTCATAAACATCGTCCGAGAAGCGTTTGTAGGGTCAGATACAAACACGTTTGCCGATGCGCCGCCATTCAAACGATATACAAGCCACGCATCTACCGTACCGAACGCCAATGTGCCTCGTTCGTACGCATCTTTAACTTTGGGCACATGTTCTATCATCCAGAGGAGCTTCGTGGCGGATGAATAGGTTGTCAGCGGAAGACCGCAAATCGGTTGCAATTGCGACGCCTCGCGCTTTTGCTTCAGCTCGTGAACGATAGCCTGCGGCCGCGTATCTGTCCAGACGATCGCGTTGTAGAGTGGCTCGCCAGTTTCATGGTCCCAAACGACGGTAGTTTCCCGTTGGTTTGTGATGCCGATAGCCTTGACACTGTATCGGGAGTAGCCCTCCGATTCAAACTGTTTGACCGCCTCTTCGATGCACGTTTCAACGGAAGACACCAGCTCAAATGGGTCGTGTTCGTGCCATCTGTTGGAGGGTCAATCAGCATCAATGCCGCTAAGCGAGTTCGTTTAGAGTGGACATACCCGGGATTGGGGTAGATCTGTGTAAACTCGACCTGATGTGAAGCTACAGGCTCACCGTCTCTGTTGAAAATTAGAAATCTGGAGCTGGTTGTACCCTGATCAATCGATCCCACGAAGATCTCTGAGGGCTGCATGATTGTGTGATCTTATGCTCAGGACTCTGGAACAACAGTGGACTCCGTGGGAAGGCTTGGGGCAGACAGCAAAGCGGATGGTGAACCCCACAGAGACACTGAGGAGACATTCGAAAGGAAAGAGTAAAAAAAACCACATTTTGGACATAGCACCCATTCTATCTTAAATAATCCTCGAGCAAGCTATCCCACGCCATTTCTCTGGTCACACAATTTTTCCGTCTGGCATTTGATCTGCGGGGAATCTCCTTGAGATGGGGGCGCATTCGACTGGGTGGTCAAGGTTAGGGAGGGGGGCCGAGATCGAATAACGGAAAAGCATAATAATAATTCATGGGAACTGGGGAAAGGATTCCTCTGTAAGCTGAGAGGTACGAGCCAGCCCAGAGTCCAGATACCGGGGAATCAATAACACGACCGAACCCGAACATTGCTTTAGTGTAGCGGCTGGCCAAGCCCATGCCTAGGGACAAGCGTCTAAAGACATGTCGGTCTCATGTTGTTCTCCAATGAGGAGAGGAGCTGGGAAACGGGCTCGAGAGCCGGCCATCCTGATGGCCATGGGTTTCATCAATTCTGAATGGACGAGAATGAACGGCTTGCAGCAGCTTGTCCTGTCAGGCCGTCCACTTTCGACCTCTCAGGCTCTCTCTCTCGGGTGGTTGCGTATCGACCAACACGGATATTCCCAGGAGGAGTCTATCAGATCCATCAATATTGTATCAATATAACAATTAGATGCAAAGTCGCATTCTGTTGATTCTCCTGTATTGAAAGCCTAGTTTCATCAAACTGGTGAGAAAAGAGAGAAGGCAAGGTGGAGCACGAGACACTACGGAGAACCCCGAGCTAGGATAATTCCACCCGTGCTCTTGGGACTTTCTCATCGACACCTCCTCAGTCTTCCTCCGATTTCATCCACAATTACCGTCATTTCGTTTGCTGAACTTCCGATTCATGCAATGCTACCTACCTGCAGTCATACTATCCTCGACTTGCATGAGAAGCATGTGTTATTCGAACCCAAACAGGCCTGTCTTGGATCGTTGCTATTGCCCAGTCAACTACGGAGTACAGTGGAAGTGATCGGCCCCCACAGTAGCAGCAACTAGCAACCATGCCGGAGGAATTGCGGAGACTGTCAACAGTGGGATAATCGATTAGTCGAATGATGGCCGTTCCCATCCAAAAGTTCCAGAACTTTGTGGAGCACAACTGGAGACATCTCGCAGCGTGGAGAGTCGATCTTGACCGAGCCGCAGGACAGTTTATCAGAACACACAGGGCAGTCTTGAAGTAGGAGAGTCGCACCAACAACAAGCTTTTCTGTGCTCATGGAATTACGGAGGCTGCGAAAAGAAAAACTGACCAGGCTGATACTCAATTATTGCCACTTACCAAGGACATGGGCAATTGTCCCGCCAAGTTCACCAATCTCCACGACAGCCGATAGTCTCAGCCAAAACCCCTCAATCCCTGCCGTCTCGTTGCGACTTGGCCATGCCAGGAGGTAACACAAGGACAAATTTGGAGTCATGTCCTCAAACGTTATGCAGGCGTGGGCCGAAGCCCCTCTTCGGCGTCTCAAGCTGACCAGTGTCTGACCACTTGGTTTTGCCTTAAGACGGAATGGTTCGAGACGTCGAAAAAGGTCGAACAGGCTCATGCTGTGTTCGAGGATGCGACTGACAAGTAGGTCACTCCGACTGGAGCGCACGAATGGCAGTTTTTCGCCTCGGTGGTTCATGGCTGGTCTTCCAGCAGCCCTCTCAACCCCGGCCGAAAGTGAGCAATCAAAACGAGGACCTCATAGTCCTCGAAGGACGACAGCCTTTGCCATGACGTGGCTGTATGATGCCGCTTTGCGCAGCAACGAATCTCTTGGCCATTCTATTTCCAAATCTAATCTTACTCTGGCGCATGGCTGATGGGCTTCTATGGCACAATGCAAGAATATTTCAGCAAAGGCATAACCTTACTGGGGGTGTCACCATGCGTGTCAGGAAAGAGCGAGAGGGTTTTGAATGTGCCACTCAGGCAAAGTGACACCGGGGACTGCATATTTCAGTGCCTTTATGTCTGGGTATAAGGACCATAATCAGAATGTATACCAATGCCTATTGCATACGGCAAGTTCCGCTTGTGAACGGTATTTTCCATCTAGTATCAGGTCTTGGTGCACTGCCATTCACTTCCGTGCTCACCAGTCCCGGCCCTCCCCTCAGACCATTCACTTGTGGTGATATTTATACCTTCCTACTTCAAATCTCGCCTCGATAGCTTCAACATTCACGTCTCTATCTCTCCCATCCCCTACCAATTCGTGCTATAGTCTTCAAAGGCTGTCCTTATCTATTCACTATGACTGTCCTCAAACAAGTCCTCGATAATGCAGAGATACAGGAGAGTGCTTTTGTCACTATGACTGCTAGTAATAAAGGCGGGGCTTCTATGCTGGAGAATGCTTTTGGGTCCCAAGGGGCTCAGGTCATGCTCCCAGAACCAGCTTGGAGCAAGGTCCGGACTTACTGCCGTGATGCATTCTCTGAATTCTTCGGAACTATGATCCTCATCCTCTTTGGAGATGGCGTGGTTGCTCAGGTCACACTTAGCAAAGGAGAAAAGGGTGACTATCAATCAATCTCCTGGGGCTGGGGGTGAGTATCTCTTGGTGTGCTGCTCATTCCTCTGGCAATTTACTGACGGAGTTGCTCTTTAGGATCGGAGTCATGTTGGGTGTCTACGCGAGTGGCATCTCCGGAGCACACATCAACCCTGCAGTGACCTTTGCAAACTGTGTCTTTCGCAAATTCCCATGGCGAAAATTCCCCGTCTATGCCATTGCCCAGATACTGGGAGCGATGTGTGGAGCAGCTATTGTCTATGGGAATTACAGGTCGGCCATCGATCAGTTTGAAGGGGGAGCACACATTCGGACAGTGCCTGGGTATTCTCCTACAGCCACCGCGGGCATCTTCTGTACCTACCCGGCGGAATTCATGACCAGGACGGGACAATTCTTCTCGGAGTTTATCGCCAGCTCCATCCTGATGTTCTTGATATTTGCTCTGAAAGATGACGGAAATATCGGGGCTGGTCCCCTTACCCCCCTTGCGCTCTTCTTTGTGATATTTGGCATTGGCGCTTGTTTTGGGTGGGAGACTGGGTATGCCATCAACCTGGCTCGAGATTTCGGGCCTAGATTGGTTTCCTATATGATCGGATACGGCCCCGAGGTCTGGAGGGCAGGAAACTATTACTTTTGGGTATGCCTGGCTCTATTGAATATGACGGCTGATGATACGAAGGACTAACAACCCTATCGCAGATCCCCATGGTAGCGCCATTCATAGGGTGCACTTTCGGCGGATGGATGTACGATATGTTCCTGTACACGGGGACAGATAGCCCAGTGAACACGCCATATGCCGGACTACGGCGGCTGATCCAGCCAGTGGAGAAAAAGTCGATTGACTCGCAGAGCCAAGTATGAACGGGAAGTAGCATGATGATTAACGAGCTTATGTGACACGTTTTGAGGGAAAAACACGATTGGATGATTCTTGAGGCTAGCTAGCATATATGTTGAAACGATGGTTACGGCCTTGTGTGATACAAAAACGCTTGCATGTACTCCACACTGTCAGTGGAATGGAAATGTCAAATGTCATATTCTTTTCGAAAACACAAGCCTTCTAGCCTCTGGCTCCGTTACATAGAGCGTGGCCATAAGCCATGTAAGACATCGCACAGGAGACCCGGCGTGTAACGGAGTCTATCACAGATGCATGTGAACATACTAGGATCTATCATCAATAATAATACCACTATTATCAAGTCTTTGGTAGAACAACCGCGTCGCGTGATGTATGCATAGTATAGATTCAACCTCGTAGTCAATCCAATCAACCCATGTCAAACTCCCTCCCAATACCACCGTGCCATCCACACCACGTAAGAACTAGCAGTGCCGCGCCTCAGCAACGGGGAATCAATCCCAACCCGGCAACTGTCTACCGCTGCAAGTGTATTTTGTATTTTCCCCAGAAGTACTTCGTAGGTATATTTTCCATTGACGAGCAGCATTACCCGATCCGTCGTCCTGCATGGGCGGTTTAGTCTGGGGTAGGGACTATAAGGACTGGGCATTGGGGTAACTGTAAAGTGGCGATGGAGCCGAGGATATCCGTTTTGTGAGTCGAGGATAGAAGCACGGTTTGCGCCGAGGTAGGTAGGGTCCAGAAATTAGTCGAGGTTTTGGGTTGTCATCTTGCGAGTAGGTTCATTCGGCCGGAGATGAGGTCCGACGGATATCGTATCATCATGAAGCATATCTACACAGTCGACAACATCGTCATCACGGTTCATCAGTTCAAGGTTTTCAATCATAGACGTCACTCTCACGATGATTCTCCTCCGTCGAATCCTTACCAGGAAGGTAGTCTACTTTCATAATCATCAAGCAGTGTATACGGACGGAGTGTCTAGTATAGCACATAACCCTAACCGGTAACCACCATCTCGATATTATCTTACAGACGAACATCCACCGAATACCCTCCAGAATGGCCCCGTATAAAACTGAAGAGGAATCAAACAGACCAACCTACGAAACCAAATCCGACTTCGTGGAAAAATACGTCCTTCGCCCTGTCGGCAAACCCCTGACGAAGGAGTACCGGGTCTACTTCAACCTCAATGACAAGCTCCTCTCCCCTTGGCATGACCTGGCGCTGTACCCAAGCAGCGGCCGCGAGCCGGTGGTGCATATGGTTGTCGAGGTGCCGAGGTGGTGGAGTACGAAGATGGAGGTAAGTCCTCTCTGTGTTCTCTTTGACAACGCATCGAACGATCGATTGATGAAAATAACGACAACAGATCGCAAAAGACGAGTACCTCAATCCCCTCAAGCAGGATATCCAGGATGGCCGGTTAAAGTACGTTCCCAACATCTTTCCGCATAAAGGGTACCCGTTCAACTATGGGATGTTACCTCAGGTACGCTCGTTTCTACGCCTTCAACTGAGAGATTTACAGATTGATAGAATTGAATAGACATACCAAGATCCCAGGGTCCAAGACCCCCTCACTAATCTCCCAGCGGACGGGAACCCGCTCGCTGTCTGTGAACTGGGCGGCGCAATGCCGCGTCCTGCACAGGTCAAACGGGTCAAAGTTCTCGGCTCGCTGGCCGTCATCAATGAGAACAAGACGGACTGGAAGATCTTCGTCGTTGACTTGGAGAACCCCGAGGCGGACAAGCTGAGTGATATCGGGGACGTCGAGTCGCTGATGCCGGGGTATCTGGATACAATCAAGGAATGGTTCCGGGTGTACAAGCTGGCCGAGGGGAAGAAGGAGAACGTTCTTGGTGCGGATGGGGAACTGCAGAATCAGAAGTATGGCATCTCTCTATGATTTGTTGAACGCGCATAGGAAGAGCGTTGACTGATCACGAGCGATGCAGGTATACCCTCTCGCTCATTGAGCGGTGCCATAATTCCTGGAGAGCTGTCAAAGAGTCTGAGACAGGCATGCAAGCAAGGATTTCCATGTGAGTGAGCCCCGTCAGTTAAAGAAACCTCTTTCTGAACATAGTCAGGGCGGACATTGCGCCTCAGAAGCATGGTGCGGTTGATGTCCTTCCACGGACATCAGAAGATCGAGATGTCTGCCGAGACATCGACCCCATAGCAGCTGAGAAGAGCCATTTCCTGTCTCCGAATTGGCCTTCCATGGCTGCTTGCCGCGGTGGTGCTCTGAATGTGTAATAGACTTGTAGAATAGAAATGTGACGATCGCTTTTATAGACCAGAAACCAGAATACTCCAAAGGAACTAAATGGTCAAGTTGATTAAATCTAACGAACCAAGACTGTCATCTTATCTAGCTTACAAACTTAGAAGCCACAGGCCTCCGTCCTAGGATGATAGCCGGCTGCTCCAAGTCCTCATCCTCGAACCTATTGTTATCGTTAGCCCTTGATCCCGCTTGCAGCAGGAGGCAAAGAAATACCCCAGTATACCCACGCCCGCTGTCTCAATCAGAAGCCTCACCCCACACTTCAAAGGCAGGCCGGCCCACCGCATAGCCAACGCAGCTAGCGACTGACCAGATCCAATACAAACGATATCCCGAGGCTCCTCATTGACATGAGGGACAATCCGGCCTCCCGGCCAGGAGGCAGAGGTACTCTTGAGGAGTTCTCTCATCTCCGCGATCAGCTCGTCAATGCGATCGGAGACCTGTTGAGGGTTTCTAAGAGACAAGTCAGCCTTCAGCCAATTTCTTTGCCAATGTATGCAATGTCACAAGCGGAAAGAAGGAAGACATACTCGCCTCCAGGACAACCAGCCTTCCAGATTGACCAAGGACCTTCCTTGTCCAGCCCCTTTTGTCCGCGTTTCTCGCGAATTTGGTCTGTGGTCAGCCCTTCGTATTCGCCGTAGTCCCACTCACCAAGGCTGGGAGTGATCTGGATCGTCGCCTCGGCTATGTCGCCCGTAGTAGGAGGGATCGCGGTCGTTGAGGTCTGCTTGGTGGTTCGGTCATAAAAGTGCTGATGTTGGTGCACTCCCAGACGGAGGATTTCGCACGTCTGACGATCTCGTATTCTTGGAGTGATATATCTAATGTTGAAATTCTCCTTCAGCTTCCAGGTCTCACGTGTAGGATGGCAGTAAATGTGAGCAGCAGAGGCCTTACATGCGTGAAACCCTTTTGGGATCGATCAACTTGCCCCCACCCACATACTGCTCCCTAGTCAGTTCGACTTGTCTCTCCCCTTCTGTGGATAGTTTATGGTCGGTGGTGCTGATATGCTGCATCCCCCGGGTCCCTTCGGTTTCACCATGACGGATCAAGAATATACGAGAACTCATTTTGGATGAAATGCAAGCAGGTAACCTGTCAGCGCGATGTTGTGTAGCTCTGGAGAGAACAGCTCCAAGATATTGTTCGTGTGCTGTCGGACACAACGCCCACCTAGGATTGTCCCTTTTTGACGTGATGTCATTCCCAATAAATAAACATGCTCATACCTACTTCACACCGGAAATTGCGGTCCGTCCACTGTCGGGATATACTCCCATAGGATGAGCGGGCCTGACCTCGACATTAGGCAGGTAAAGGGAATATACCTCCAAGGAAATAATTGTGATTAAGTACCAGTCGACCTTTCGTGCAGAGCAGCAGAGCAGCAGAGAAGCCTGAGATGAGCCTCATGAACCGATTAAGCTGACGTTGTCCGTTCTTGGGAAGTTATTATCGTATCACGAATTAGTATTGGGTGTTGTCTAGTCTATAAACACTTTTCGCCGGAGAATAAACAATACAAGAAGTAACAAACCAGGTGGTGAACTCGATCAGCCTTCCAATCTGGATAGGGGATCGATACGAACACTATCACCCGGTGCGCCAAAACAAACAATGTGACCCATGCTGAGCAACAATTAGAGACAAGAAAGAAACGCTCCCATCCCTGAATGATAGAGGAAAAAGACCAAATTGCAAGGAGAGAAAAACAAAGCCACCGAGTCCGTGTCTATACAACATACAATTCGTCGTCGTGTGTAAGTCATGCATTCATTAATCAATCGTCTCGTGTCCGTAGTCGTCAATCGTGAGTGTGATGGAGTGCATTGCTTCTTCGAAGAAACCTCAGCTCAAAAGACTGCCATGAGGCCGCCAAGGAGCGCACAGAAGACACCCATTCCGACGGGCGCCTCCAGCAGGTCATTGGCTGCGGCAACGGTAGGGGCCACATGTGCAATTGAGGCGGAAAACGAGGGAAGAGTCGAGCCATAAGTGCTAATCTGATAAGTAGTTGTTGAAGCAAGATGTCCGGTCGACTTTGTCACACTTGAACTACTCGGGACCGAAGAGACGGAACTAATTTTAAGCCCGGAGTGGGAAGATGAAGCCAGCGACGAAACCAAGGAAGATGACGTACAGAGGGGCGTAGACTATATTTGTAACGAAAGGAAGGCATCAGCATGTCACGATCGAAAAAGCGGCAGAGGCAAATGAAGGGCAATGCTCACTCACAGAAGCCGCACTGGGCGGCTGGACTTGTCGAGATCCGGAAAAGGTCCAGCCACTGGGCAGAGTCGTATCCTTCGCGACAGAAGACGACAAAGTGGTAGGCTTGGGAACCCAGGGCCAGATACTTGGAGTTACAAAGCTCGACGTCTCACGGTGCGTGCCACTGAAAGGAATAGGAGCACTGTCAATTGTCGCGGTCACAGGAGGGGCAGACTCGACAGTTGAAATGGACTCAGCGTCACTATTACCATTGATTTGACCTCCATCGGAGGTGATGGACCGCCACGAGCCACTCTTGTCGCTATAAGTATACGATTTACCCGTCGAGTAGTCGGTCGCCACGAGCGACTTGAGGTACATGGTATAAGGACCCGCGCTGTAATCGGTTTCGCCACCAGCCCATTCTAAGAGGTGTTAGCATATATCGCCAGTCGATATCATCACCACAGGATGGTCACTCACGAATTGTGCCTGGCGCATTGTTGGGGTCACCACCAGCCCATACACCAACCTTGACCATCATTGGGCTCTGCGGGTAATGATCCCCGGCACTCTCAGCAGTGAGAACCCGGACAGTCTTGCCATCAATTTGCCAAACAATCTGCGTGCTAGTCCAGTCGATTGTGTATGTGTGGAAAGCATCCTGGTTTCCAGCGTTGTCGTGGGCAGCGCCGCGATTGTAGCTCCCAGTGTCTCCTTTTCCGAAGTAGTTGGTTTGAACATACAGATTGTTTGCTCCGAGCCATTCCCAATCAATCTCATCCAGGTCATCAGACTGCAGAACTGCACTACTAACAATGCCCTTGCCTGGTGCGGTCTTGATCACGAACTCGACGTGACCAAACATCATATACCAGTTGGACTGGATCAGCGGGGCATCACCCTGCTTGGCCACCGAGAAAGCAGCACCGTTGTTGCTGTCGTAGGTGGGGCTTCCAACTGGTTTGAAGTCGGGGGAAGTGCCTTTGGTGAAGTCGTAGGTGACTGATCTCCCCAGAGCGGGATTCGGAGGGCAAGCTTTTTGACAAGTCAGAATTATTCGGTGGTACCGTAGTTTTCAGCAGGTACAACTCACTCTTCTGCAATGGGTTGCAATCAGTGTATGTCTGAGCTGTCACGATGGCAGAGGAAGAAAGCAGGCCAATGGCCACACCAACGAGAGGCAATCTCATGGTGAGAGGCTTCAGAGGTAATGTGAGAACTAATGGGATTTTCAAAGAAAAGATTGAAGGTGATCTGATAATACAGCAGAGATGATGAGAATTCAAAAGCTGCTAGATAGTATGTATGTGAAACAAGGTAGTACGAGCAGGAGGATGTATGCAGAAGAGAAAGAAGGGAAGAAAGGAGGAGGACGAAGCAAAATAGTCCTCTTATTGACCAAGGTGATACATTGAGATTTGAGAGGAAAGAACAATTCACTGCCACAGCAGCAGTGACAACCCAAGGACTAGGCAACAGGCTTTTCTTATCACCTTCCCAGCTGTCCTTCAACTGGAAGGAAAGCTTCTGACCGACAGAAATGGGACCACTTTGGAGGAAAGTGAGTAGTCCAGCCTCCTCACTTCCTTTCTTCTGCCGTCATCATCATATTACTCCTTTGGGGCAAGTTAGCGGGCGGCCCAGTGGAGACCTGACAGCCTAAGGCAAGCAGATTAGCACACATCTGCTGCAGATCCACACAAGGTTCCTACCCTTCCATACCTTCTCGAAGCTGTCATTGGCTCGAGCGTTTTAGTTGTGGCGCTTTTTTGGTGGCTGGACTTTTGGCCATTGGCCATTGGTGGCCGCTCCCACACGTGACGGGAACTTTTATGCGGCTAGACTTCAAGATTGAAGGGTTGAAACTTGAGCAAGATCGGCTGAGACATGCCTATATCCACTACCGAAAAAGGTAGTTCTTTGTGCTCCATTGTCTCTACCACTGTATGGGTACAGAAGTATCCGTATTCCATACACAAATATAAATAGTTCATGATCAGTCGACCAAGAACATTGGCCTTTGTATCCGTTTCATCCGAACTGCCCAGGAGACATCGATTCGTGTGCCAGAGCTGCGAGTGCATAACGCTCTATATATAGGTCTGATGTCTATACCAATCATCTCCGGCGGTCAACAACTCCATTTCTTTTGGAGGAAGCTCTGTCGTCAAGATCATATACACAACAATGAAAGTATCCATATATTATCAACCTAAAACCAAGCAGCGTCGTGGCAATGGTCAACAAACTCAAAACCGCCTGATCGTCCCACTCCACCCCCAGCCCCCTCTTTTTAGAGACATCTGGACTGGATATGACGCTTTAACCATATCATCACATCACATTACAGGAGCTGAAATTCCGCGTGTCATCTCCATCTACTCCGTACTCCGTAGTAAATCAATTATCACAACGATGCATTGTGCTCTGCCTCGCTGTTCCGCGACCTTTCAGATGTTCCTTCAGCATCTGCTGATCCTGCCATGACTGTCATACAGATCACCAAAAGCAGCAGGACTCGGTTACAGAACGCGAGTCATTCGACGAATTCTATCAAGAGACTTGTCACAATCTGATCTAGTGACTACTATCTAATTTTTGAAGTCCTCCCGAATGTAGGAATATCCGAGGGCCCAGTGCTGCCCTTTGTTCCTATAAGAAACGAGTGGAAACTCGCCATGTTTCCGCCATGCTTGGCGAGCATGTCTGACCCGAGGACCTCAAGTAATCGCTCGGGCACCTCTTTTGGGTACACAAGGTAACATCAAGTTGCTTTGAGCGCTGATTAAATGTTACTTGGCAACCACACCACACGCTATCCTCCAGTACATATTGCACACCTGCTTCGAATATGGCAGGCAAGCACTCTGAATCAACAAAGGAGATCAGCAGCGTCGAGAACTGGCAACCGCTTCCGCTAATCAGATTATAGCTATGAAGCTACCGTCTTCTTCAAGTCATAGTATGTTCTGACGTGATAATGAAGCACTATATGGTACTACATGGTCGCCTCCGTGGGATATAAGGACCGCGGGATCCTATGATTTGATACAAATATCCCGCTGACATCTGCTCATCCACAGAGTCGGCACTCTGGCTGTGAAAGATGTCTTCATCAAGTACTGGGATGTTGTGTAATTGATGGCTGATGAGGAGATATCAGCGTTATGGGATCATTTGAAGAATCAGCAGAAACATCAACGTGATTATACAAGCCGTAATCCCTTGTTTCTCTGTATATATTGGGTTGAATTCACACAATCTAACCCGTCTGAATCCCCGCATTTTTATACAGCATTTAGAAGGCAGGTCGGATATTCCACACGGGTAATACATATAGATCTCAGCGTCACCGACTCACCAGAACCTTCACTTGCTGTCTCCGATGATGGCCGTAGGAGTAAACCACTTATGGTGGCAAAAGATACATTACCCGGCAGACAGCAGCTGTTCAAAGGTAATTGAAGTGGTGGAAGAAAGGAGATGCAGAAGCGAGCTCGGCTGCAGTCGTAGTCACTGAGGTCGCATGGCCTAGAGTAGGTTACAAGCATCTAGGCTTAGGTCATACTTCAAGAACACTAGCAAGCTCGGCTAATTAGACCTCTTTCAAACCTTATCCACCCGAGGACGAGCTTTCTGATGCTGATACTAGTACTGTCCTGTTGCTCGCTCTGGAATATAGCCACTGGTTGGTCCAGTTCATCTATCAACCTTTTGCCTACTGCTTACTCGCTTGAACATTGCTGCAGCGGAGTCGGGCTTAGACCAAATAAAGACTGGACATAGAAGGAATATAAGGACGAGTATTGCATGATCGAGTCGGTTTCAGGAAGTTTGAGCAGATGACAAAGAGGAA